CACCTGCTACGTGCTGGGCACTTTGCCATGTCTTAATTCATTGAATCTAAACTCCCGAATCTTCAAAACCACTCCCTGAAATAAGCATTTACATGATCCCCACAAGGAGAGTAGGGCTCAGAGAGGGGGAAGTGACTCACCCAATGTCACACAGTAAAAGGTGGACCCTGAATTTGAATCCAGCTCTGTCGGAATCCAAAGTCCTTGGTTTTTCTATTCTCTTTTCCTGCGACGGAGGAACTTTAGTGTAATGACTAACTGGCCAAGAGTGTAGGTTCTGCAATTAGACAGATGTGGGTTTTACCTGGTTTAAGCTGTGTGACTTGGGCAAGTAATTTCACTTCTTTGAGTCTCAGTGTCTTCACCTTTATAGGTAGAGATTAAGAATTCTTTCTATAGCCACAGGATTATTGAGGGATTTCAGGAGATTCTGCATGTAAGGCACTCAGATAGTGCCTGGCATATATAAGTGGTGGATAAATGTTAGCTATAATCTGTTTCCAAAGAGTAAGCCACTTACTCAGTGGTTGCTGGTTCCAATGCAAAGCACTTTATCAACCTTCATTTTCCCCAAACCATGCAGAACCCACTGCTGTCAATGCCCTTGTTTAAAGATAGGAATCATAATAATAGTGAATTGTTTTTCAGCATCACCATATGGCAGGCACTGCACTAGGTGCTTTAACACATTTGTTTATCTCATTTAAATGAAGTGAGTGGCAAATCTTGCTGACAAAGGCTGCTGAGTCCCTCCCATTAGGAGTGGCTGCTTGAAGGCAAAACGAAACCCATCCTTTCATATTGTGGAGTCAGGGCAGCAGCAGCCACAGCAGCAGCATCTGTTGAGGGTTTATCACAAGCCAGGCACCCTTCTAAGTGCAAAACTAACATGGTCTCATGGAACTCTGGGAGGAGGTGTTCCTATTATTCCTATTTTAGAGACAAACTGAACCTTAGAGAGGATAAATCATTCGCTGTGATAGCTATTTTAGTTCAGGTGGACCTTGATTTACATAACACATATTTCTGAGGCTGATGCTTAAAATGAAAAATCCCCCTGTGAATTGCAAAGATGCCTTGCTTTGGGAAGTCAACGGCCCCACCTCTCAGCAGGCCTGCCTTGTTAATTCAGTTCCCGGGCCCAGTTTCCCCAAATCTTGGTATTTCTGAGTTTGGAAATGAAAGGGGCTCTGGATATCAACAGGACAACTTGTTCACGACAAGGATTAGGAATCTCAGGCCCAGTTCCAGAAGGAACCGCCCCAAGTCACACAGTCTGACGGCAGATCTGGGACTGGAATCCCGTGCTCAGAGTTTCAGGCCTGGGACGCCTCCTTATTGAGGGACTCTGGAATTTCCATTTCCTCACCTGAGAAATGGGGTCAATCACGGGCCATCTTTGCGTCGTTGCTGGAGTCACGTGGGTGTGGCCCAGCTCAGGGGAGGCCACCCTGCACTAGGAAGGTACAGCCAGGGATGAAACGTCGGGAGTCCCCACAGGTGGTGGTGGGAGGGCGAGACGGGGCAGGGGCGGAGCTTCGAAAGCCAGAGGCGGGGATTCGCGAATTCGGGGCGTGGCTTGGAGTTGAAGCGTTTAGACCGGTCGTGGGCGGGGCCTGAGATGCGGCCAATAAAATCGAGGGTCCCTGGGCGGGGCTTCTGGCAGTCTGGGCGGGGTTTTGCGGCGCCGATGGGCCAGTTCTGAAGCGGAATTGGGCGGGGAGCTGCGCTCAGGGAGCTGGGAGGCGGGCTTCAGGGCTTGGGTGGGCGGTGGGCGGTGGACTCAGGGGAACCGATGTTCCGGTTTTAAGGGGCTCGGGGGAATCTTTGCGGAGCCAGGGGCTGTGGCTCGCCGAGCCAAGCGGGTCAGTGGGCGGAGCTCTAAGAACCCCGCTCCAAGTTCTAAGCTGCGGTGGGCGTTGCCGGAGACTCCTCTGGGCGTGGCTGTCTGGCCACTCAGGGCGGGCTCTGTGGCACCGCCCTCCTCCTTGGCCCACCTGCATCCCTCGGCGCGACCAGAGGGGCGCTAGGGAGGGCGAGGCGTGGAGCGTCGAGTGGGAAGCGGGCTTCCCCTCCCGGAAGTGGGCGTGGAGCACCGTGGCCCGGCGCCCCTGGTTGGGCGCGGCGCGGCGCGGGGGCGGGGCCTGCACGAGGCGGCGGGGCGGGGGCGGCTGCCCGCGCCCCTCCCCCGCGCGGCGC